TGCCTCTCACCTGGCAGCTGCCCTGCCCAGTGCTCCCAGTGCTCCCAGTGCCTCTCACCTGGCAGCTGCCCTGCCCAGTGCTCCCAGTGCTCCCAGTGCCTCTCACCTGGCAGCTGCCCTGCCCAGTGCTCCCAGTGCTCCCAGTGCCTCTCACCTGGCAGCTGCCCTGCCCAGTGCTCCCAGTGCTCCCAGTGCCTCTCACCTGGCAGCTGCCCTGCCCAGTGCTCCCAGTGCTCCCAGTGCCTCTCACCTGGCAGCTGCCCTGCCCAGTGCTCCCAGTGCTCCCAGTGCCTCTCACCTGGCAGCTGCCCTGCCCAGCGGCCCTTCCCAGCGCCGTGCCAGGCTCTCCAGCTGCCCCACGATCTTGTCCCGATCCGCGGGCTCGGCCGACTGCGCGATCCTGTCTCCCTCCGCCTGGATCATCTCCACCGTGGCTTTGCGATCGTCCAGGAGGCGCTGGAGCAGCTTTGGGGAGGCAAAGGAAGGGGGAAGTTACCAGATTGGGGTGGCAGAACCAAATCCAGCCCTTGGAGGGGTCAGATCTCTAATTGTGGCTCAGAACTACTGCCAGCACTGGGCTGAGACCAGCCCAGCCCAGGATGATGGCTCTGCCTTCAAAACCAGTTCAAAAAAATATGGAGTTGTATTATATTACATTATAATAATGACAGGCTTTGATTTGGGCAGCCCTGAAGTGATTAGGCAGCTGGACAGGGTGATCATTGTAGGTCACATCCAACTGAACTTTCATTTTATCTATTCTAATTCTATTCTAATTCTAATTCTATTCTATTCTATTCTATCCCATCCCATCCCATTTCATTCCATTCCCATTCCCATTCCATCCCATCCCCATTCCCATTCCATCCCATTCCCATTCCATCCCATTCCATCCCATTCCATTCCCATTCCATTCCCATTCCATCCCATCCTATTCCCATCCCATTCCCATTCCATTCTCCTTTTCCCCTTTCTTTTCCCTCTTTTCTTTCCCCTTTCCTTTCCTTTTCCCTGCCCCCTTCCCTCTTTTAACACTACTCAAGATCAAAACCACTTCTGTGCCAGAAGAGTTTTCCGAGCCTTCCCCACCAACCCCCTCCAGCTTATCAAGCTTTTAAACTTCCACTTGAAGCACATTTCCTCTTCCAACCTCCACACATCGGACCAAGCCTGGGTGAGAATAAATTTCTAAAATATTTCCCCACGACCCCACTCGACCTCCCCTCCTCGCGCTCCAGGGGCAGGCGCCGACCCCGGGCTGTTATCTCAGCAAACAGCGGCACACCTCGGGGCTGCTTCTCACACTCTGGAACGTTCCCTTTGTCCAGACACCCAAACCAGGCCCTGCAGCACCAGCAGCTCGCTCCTGACGCAGCGGAATCACCAGCACAGAGCGGAACTCAGGGCTGGGGAAACACTCAGTGGCTGATACAAGAGGGACAAGGAAGGGATGTGGTGATTTTGGTGATGGAGATGGTTGAGCGTGGGCAAACCGCTCATTCCATTGGGATGTGAGGAACTGAGATCCACCAGGAAACCACGGACACCCCAGCTGGACCCTCAAAACACTGCCTGGCTGTTCTGAGGTCCCCTCCCATAGAGCCACCCAGTGCTCGCTCACCTTCTGCTCCTGGATCTGGGCTTTCACCACCTTGTACTCGGCAGAGGGAGGTTTCTGGTTGGAGATGAGCTCCTCGGTGTCTGCCAGCCAGCTCAGCAGCGGCTCCAGGGCGTCCTGGAACTTCCCGCAGTGCAACAGGGCCTCCTGCAGCTGGGCCACTCGCTGGGCCACCTGCACCCCAAAAACAACCCCACTGCAGCGTCAGGAGCCTCAGCTCGCTGCCCGTGATCCCCTCCTTCCCCCAGAGCCCCAAAAGTACACTTTCCTCCAAATTATTAATTGAAATGAATTTTTAATCTGTCCTGCTTCTGAACCTTTGACCAGAACCAAAAAATACTCTCAGCTTTGCTTGAGTACTGTTAGAACAACACATGATAATCGATGGAGTCGGCTTCGTGAACGACTTGTTCAAAAAAGGACTGCCCAGGAATTATTTGCAACAGATATAAGGATCTTTACGCTTTTTCCAAAAATTTGAGATAAATAAGGTTTTTATACTTCTGAGGCAAAGCAGGGACAGCCCTTCCCCACGCTCCCACCTTCTTGTTGAGGGTGTTCCAGCGGGTGTTGATTTCTTCCATGTCGTGCTCCAGCCCTTGGACGTCACAGTTTTTCCCGGCGCTTTGGATGAGTCCCTGACCAACTCCATTGACCTGCTGCAGCTTCAGCTGGAGGGGATCCACTTGCTCCTTCTGGAATTGCTGTGGGTGGAAAAGGTGGGAGAGAAAAGGTGATTTAAAGGCCGTGGGCTGCTCTTCCAGCTGCTCAAGTCTTTCCATGGATACAACGGGCTTTCCCCTCTAGGGAAGATGCGGTAGCCACTTGCACTGATTTTATTGGAATTGTGCAAGTTTGTCTAAACCCCTCCCTTGCCTTGACCCAGTGACACAGATGTCACAGGAATCTGCTGCTGTGGAGGGTCTATCCACACCCTCCTCTGGTTTTAAATGGGTAAATCTCATTTTTCCAAGCACTGGAGTGAGGTAAAAAGAGAAAACCGAAGAATAAATGAGAGCATCGGCTCCGACTCGCCATCAGATTGGGAAATAATGCTCCTGGGGAAAAAACCCCAAGCAATTCTCACAGTGAAGCTATTGAGAACGGAGACCTGACATCATATGAGTTTTGTTAACCACGAAATTACAGGCAGCGAGAAGCTCGCTGGATTTCGAAAGACAAAGGCAATAGGCAATTAATGTGCGAGTCGTTTACCACGGATTTGGCACGGTCCTGCCTGGGAATCCTGCGGGGAAAAGCTTTCTAAACCAAAAAAGATTTGATAGGGAAGGGGGAGGAGAGCGAATGAAGCTCCCCATTGTCAGGAGAGGCAGCAGGGAGAATCCTGTTTCTCCGGAGGAGATAAATGCTCTTTATCAGAGCTGGGGATCTGCTGGAACCACGCGCTGCCCGTGCACTGTCCCTGCACCAGTCCCAAGGGACAAACCCTGCCTGTCCCCACAGCAAACAGCCCAAAATTAGGGAGCAGATTCCTGGCTCTCCCTGCTCCCCTGGCCCCATGGGTGAGAGAGGAGCTGTTGGCCCTGTCACGACGTTTTCCCGTTGGGAAGCAGAGGGGATGGCAGCCAGCCACCTGCTCCCTGTGCCCAAGAATGCACGGACGTTGCCTGCACTCAAAAAATTCCCACTTGGATGCAAGATCTCCCCCAGCAGAGCAGCAGCTCGTGGAGGACACGGCTCTCTGCGGCCGGAGAAGCACAAAACAAAACGCCACAAAAACACCAAAATCCCCCAAAACGCACAGGCACAGCTCCCAGCCCCAACAAGAGGCGCTGCTCTGACTTTCCCTGCCTCGTTTCTAGAAGAAAAAAAAGCCACTTCTCCCCAGCAGAGCTCAGCAAGCTGGGAAGGGCAGGGAGGTCCCTCCAGGACACGAGCGAAGGGTGAGCTGGCAGACACTGTCCAGAGCTGTTTGCTGATGGAGAATTCTGCCACGCTCAGAAGAAATAAATGGGGACTTGGAATCACCGATTCCCGGGCTGCTCTCCTCTTACTGTTTATATATGGAGCTGCTGGGTGGAAGAGCCAAACCCACAAAAGGATCAGGCTGATAAGCCTGGCATGCCAGGCTGGTCTGAAGCTCTCCCTGTGCTGCAAAACAGACTCCAAAGGAGTCAAGCAGGGAGGGGAGCCCTGTGGAAAAGCCTGGATGATCCAGCCTGGGGTACCTGCTACACAGGTGTCAGCCAGCCTGAGAGCCCTGAGGAGCCTGACAAAAATAACCCCAGCAAAGGCTGAGGGCGAGCGTGTCCAACACACTTGTTTTTCCTTTGCTCATAAAAAGATTCCAGCGATTTAGTTCATTAACCTCGCTGTGACTCAGCTTGGGAACAAATGTTTAACGACTCCCCTTTGCCGTGGAGCGAGGTGTCCTGCCCCGGGGAAGAGCTGGACAGACATTTTGGGAGAGCAGAAGGACATCTGCTCCACCACACCTCCTCCTCCTCACCCCCAAAAAAGCTTCCCGAAGCATCCCCTCGCTTTCTGCTTCCCTCATCTCCCTTAACCCCACTGCTGCTGGATGTGGAATTGCAGGAAGCATCTCCAGCAATGCTCAGAGCAAGGGCAAGGTTTGTGGGGTTCACAGTCGGAGGTGCTGAACCTAAAATAAGGATTCCCCCGATGAATTTCAAGCAATAGACAATTAAGGTGAGGACCCAATGGTTTTTTCCTCACCCAGGTCCTCTCTGGGTGTCCCAGCCTGTGCTCACATGGACCCCCCATGTGAAACCAGCCCTCCAAATGCGTATCTCAAAGGGGTGGTGCAGCCCAAAGGATGAGTAATTGCCACCAAATCGGGATTTTTGGTGCTGACTAACTTCTGATGTCTCCTTAGTGATATTTCTCCTAATCCAGATGGCAGGAAATCAGCGCTGGGCTGTGGGAACTCCAGCAGCAAGGCGTCTCCAAGGCAAGAGCCACGAGCACCACAAAATCCCCAAACACCAGAGGGAATCTGAGCCCCTTCCCAAGCGCTTTCTGAGCCTCAGAATGCTCACAGAAAAAAAAACCAACTACAGACGGCGATGACTGCACGGGACAGGAATTGCTTGCACTTGATTCGTTTTACAGGTTTCTCTTTCCTGATACATTTTCTGCTTCAAAGATGGGAACTCCCTGCCAGGAGCAAGAGAGAAGGTTTTTCTGAAGTCCGTGATTTCCATCTGAGTGACCAAAATGTACTTTTAATAAGCCAAAAAAGTAAGTCAACATTTCAGGTCATCGAGCAGTGAGAATCTTTTGCCTCCCTTACTTACACAATCACACAATTCCACCCCAACCTCCACCAAAAACTTTTTTGCCTGCCAAATTTGAGCCGATCTCAGGGAGGAGAAGGCTGTTTGGAAGCCCAGATCGTGCGTTACTGAGTGGGCTCCCACCTCCCACCCACCCCTGGAGTGCAAAATAAAGCGATTTCTGCGCCCGAAGCCCCGGCTGCGGGAGCCCCAGCAACAAATACCTCGTTATCTGGAACGAATCCATCTGGGAGAGCAGGGGGCCCTTCTGCCAGGAGAGGGGCACCGAGGGGTCCCCCCGTGCCCGATGCCCCCTCTCCCTCGCTGGGGCGCGGGGAAAGGGCACCCCCAAAGCTGCGGGGACGGAGGGGGCCCCTCAACACAGCCCTGGGGAGGGTTTGTGCCCTGGGTGCTGCGGCAAAGGGCGTCCCCAGAAGCTCTGGGGTGGGGGGACCCTCCTGTGGGAGGGGTGAGAAGGCACCGGGGGGACCCTCCCAAGCTGCCACCCCCGCTGTGGGTGCGCTGGCCACGGGGTCGTCCTCCAAAGCTGCCCCTTGGGCGGGCAGGTGCTCCAGGATGGGCGGCACAAGCGCGACGGCAAAGTCGGCTGTATCCCCCGAGGCCACCACCAACGGCCCGGGGTCACCACCGAGGTCCCCGGCAGCGGGTGCTGGCGGTGGCACAGTGGCAACAGGCACGTCAGCAAAGGGTGGTGGGGCTTCCAGAAGCTCCTCCACCATCAAGGGCATGGCAGTGGTGGATCCCAGAGGTTCCTCAGCATCCATGGTAGGATCCCCGGTGGCTGGTGGCATCCCCTGAGCCTGGAGCTCCAGGACAGCCGCATCTCCTGGTGAGAGTGGGTGGGTTGGAGCAGAAAGCTCCCCAAAATCCCATGGGATGGCAGGCCCTGCAATGGTCAATGTGCCGGGAAGCTCTTCGGGGGCGGCTGGGCTGGCAGGACACGGGACCTCCCAGCTGGGGGCAAACAACAAGTCCACATCTCCCGGCTGCAGGATGGCTGCTGGTGTCCCCCCGTGTGTGACAGCCACGGGACACCCCTCTGTGTGGGCAGCCCCTTCCAGAGACAGGCCACGGCCCAGGGAAACCATTTCCCACGGGAGGTCCTCAACAGGCACCGGGAATGTTGTCAGAGCCTTGGAGCCTGGCTCTGATGCAGAGCCAGCATAGAAAGGAAGCAGAGAACCACAGCAAGCATCCCCACTCTCTGCGGGATGAGTCCAGCCCTCAGCTCCACTCCCTGATCCCAAATCTGTGGCTTCATCCTCAGAAACCGGTTCTGGGACATCCCAGTTGGCAACCTCAGTCCTTTCAGGCAGAAGGTGATGGGTCCTGAATGGATCCCTGCCCTCAGCACCAGCCTGGCTGTGCCACGTGGGCGACCCCAGCTCCTCCATCGCTGTGTCTGGAGCTGGGGGCTGGCAGGGGGGCACTGGGCCAGGACAGGTCCCCTCGAGAAGCAAGTCCTGGTTATCTTCACCCCACCCCACTGGAGCGCTGGGGTACCCATCTCCCCCCAGTCCAGCAGCTGGATGTGCCCCTGTGCCAGGACATGGCATCCCACCAGCCACAAACTCCACAAGTGGGTCAGGATCAACCTCCCCCTGCAGCGCCGGGGAGCACTCCAGGAGAGACCCCGACCCTGCCATGGCCACGGGGCTGGGGGAGGCCCCTCCGTCCGAGTCCGTTGGGGTGACAGCCAAGGTGTCCCTTTCTGAGAAGGGCTCCGTCAAGGGCTCCAGCATGCTCAGCACCTGTGAGCTGCAGGTGACATCAAAGTCCTCCAGATCCGACACAACGGCCGAGTCCGAGGCGCTGATATCCAGGGGGGCCCTGTGCTGACCCCCTTCAACCACCAACTCGGCCAGTTTGGCCGAATCTGGATCCAGCCCCTCCGAGTCCATTGGGGACATCTGAACTTCCAGGCAGCTGGGGACAGCTCCATCACCCCCGTCCTCGTTCAGGCACTGCTCCTCCAGCTCCAGGAACATCTGCACCGAGTCCGTGTCGGACAGCTCGGGGCCCGTGGGGGTGGTTGAGCGCTCCAGAACTGGAGCAAAGTCCTCAACCCCACATTGCACCGCAGCATCCTCCCTGCAGCACCCGCTGCCACCACCCCCTGGGGACGTGCAGGACCGGGAGGTCCCCGGGCTGGGGGCAGAGCCATCCTCTGGAGCAGTGGATTGTTCCCTTTCTTCAGAAATATCTGCCAAGCAACAGCTCCTCTTCTCCTCTGCCACCAGAACAGCCTTTCCTCTCTCTGACAGCGTCGCCTCCTCCCACTCCTCCATCATCACCCAGCGCTCGTCCTCCTCAAATCTCAGCTCAGACTCCGTTTTCTCCCTGAGATTGGAGGTGATGAGAATATCCAGTCCTGTATCCAGCAGCTCTTCACTAAGGCACGGAGAGAGGTTGACGTTCTCCACCGTAGAGTCCGACTCGGAGGCCTCCAGGGTCTCCTGGTGCCCATCGTTGAAGTTTCCCCTGATGAAATTCTTCCTGGCTCGTGGCCAGGTGGCACTGGGGAGCCGGCGGGCCCTGGCCAGGTCCCTGGCGCGGCTGTCACCGGCGTTCAGCAGGGCCTGGCGCTCATCCCGGGGACCGCCGTAGCCATCCACGCTGAACTGCTTGGCCACCAGAGCCTCTGCCGTGCCAGATGACTTGGAGACGTGCTCCAAGGTGAGAGACTCCGACATGGGCTCGCCGGGGTCGGGCTGGCCCGGCTGCTCGGCCAGCATGGCACTGGAATCCCGCTTATCCCGCAGGGAAGGGTTGGAAGCGCCCACCTCCGACACCTCGCTCAGCGAAGCGCCCATCCTTTCCGCAAACTCGGTGAAGTTGGGCGGCATGAAGGACTTCCACGAGCGCCGGTTGACGTTCTCCTTCTTCTCGGGGTTCGGTCGCCTCTTTGGCGGAGCCGGCGCCGGCTTGGAGACGTCGCTGCTGAGCTTCAGCTGGTCGAAGATGACCCGCTCATCCAGCTTTTTGGGTTCCGGCGGCCTGGACTCGAAGACGTTGGCAGCTCCCAGAGTCCCGTTGCTGGATATGGTGCTGCCATCCCCCTTGCCGAGGGTGCTCTTGGAGAGCTGGTTGAGCTTCGATCCCTGATCGATCTGCTCGTTAATTCTCATCGTGTCGTATATGGATCTCTGGGGCACGTAGCAATCCTCTATATAACCATCCTCATCCTCGCCCTTCCCCAGGCAAGTGCGGTTCTGCCGTAAACAGTCTGGCCGGCTCAGTGGTTTGCCCATACTCTCGTCCTTAGGGATGACGGGACCACCACGGCAACCTTTTGCCCACCACGGCAGGAAGCATCACACACGGCCAGCAGGTCCCAAACCCGCCGGGGCAGCCTCAAATCCCAAAGTGACACTACAGGGACGGGGACCGGCAGCACCGCGCCGGCTCAGCAGCCTGCCCAGCGATCCCGAGCGGTGAAACAACCCATCTCATCCCCCCACCCCCCCGTCCCCCTAAATAACCCCATCCATCAGCGGATCGTCCAAAATCCAACAGCTTCGGTAAAATATCCCAAGCAGTTCGCCACAGGAACGGTGGAAGAGTTTGAAGCTCTTCAATTATCCCGTCTGTCCTTCTTTACTAACAAAGGCACTGCTTGTCCCGGCCGCTCCCGGCTGGCAGTGGCGAGCGGCTCCGCGCGTTTTCTGCCCAGCTCCGAGCGCCGTGGAAGTCCAGCTGCTCCGAATTAGCCTCTCCCCCCGACTCTCGTGTTTTCATTTGAACTGAGCTTGTCAGCGGATATTCGTACAACTTTAAACACAGGAAGTTCTTCACTCAGGGCAAACTCGGAGGTTTCCTGTCTCAAAAACATGATGGCATTGTCGCTGCCGTCACCTCGCCCGGTGCCACCGGCGCTGGCAGAACCCCCAAAATCCGGCCGGCGGTGGCGGCGGGGCCGCGGAGTCCGGCGGTGGAAGAAGGTTGCTGGGTCTTCTCTTTTTTTTTTTTTTTTTTTCGCTTTCTCCCCAGGAAAAAAAAAAATTGGCTATAAAACGCATCCAAAAATGGCAAAGGGACGGAGCGGGATGGAATCCCCTGAGTTGCCTCCGGGAGCCGACGGGGGGGACGCGGAGCAGCCGCGGCTGGAGGCGGCTATTGCCGCTGCTGCTGCTGCTTCTTCTTCCTCCTCCTCCTCCTCCTCCTCCTCCTGCTGCTGCTGCTGCTGCTGCTGCTGCCGGCCCCGCTCGCACTAACTTTCCCGGCGGCCGGTGTCGGGCTGCGGCGGCTCCGCGCCACCGGGCGGCCCGGCCATAGCGGGGCGGGGGGCGGCGGGGCCGGTACCGGCGGCGATGCGGGGAGAACCGGGGCTGGGGGGGTCACTCACACACCCCCGGGACCGCCCTCCCGTTCCCCTTCCCCGCCGCTTTCGCCCCTTTTGTGCGCGGCTCAGCGGCCGGGCCGGGGGCGGGGGGCTCCGCGCCGCCCCCGCGGGCAGCCCCCGGCCGGCGCGGCGGGATGCATGGCCGCTGCCTTCCTCCTCCTCCTCCTCCTCCTCCTCCTGTTCCTGCTCGTCCTTCTGCTCCCTGCCGCCGCCGCCCGCTCTCCTTCCCGCCGGCGGAACAAAAGGCCGAGCCGCACAGGCCGCCGCACGCCCCGGCCCCGCCGCCGCCGCCAGCACCGGCTCCCGCGGAGCTCCAGCCCCGGCGGAGGGCGGGGGGACGCGGGGGCGGGCGGGGGGCGGCGCCGCGGGGCGGGGCGGCAGGGCCGGGGCCGCCCCCTCCCCGAGCTCCGCCGTGCCTCCCGCACCCCCCCGCACCGACCCCCCCAGCGGCCCCGGGAACCGGGGGGAGCGGAGCGCGACCCGGCTGCGGAACGGGGGGGGATGCTCGGTGGCAGCGCGGGGGTGGTCCCCGCCCGCCCCGCCGGGGATGGCCCCTCCTCCGGGGGGAGGCGGCAGCCCCCGACAAAGAGCAGCAACGCCCTGGCTCGGCGGCGGCTCCGGCTCCGGCTCCCACCGCCACCGGCCCCGCTCCCCCGGCCCTTTGTCCGCTGTTCCCCGAGCCGGAGCTGCGAGCGAGATGGGGACCCCCGCACACATCGGGTCTCCCTGCTCCTCACAGCCGCCCTCGCACAAAGAACCGAGTTTGGAAATCACCGAAGAAACCCACCCGGAACACCCCCAAAGTACCAATTCTGCCTTCCCCCATCGCTCTGCCAAAAAGCCACCCGCAACTTGCCACCGCTCCCCATGAGCACTGCAGGCTCTTTTCCTAAAAACCGTGATTTTTACAGCTCCAGCTCTAGGGTAGCGCCCTGCTCCTCCCATCCTGAGTCCTGTCACCCTCTTTTCCTCCCCCAAAACCCTTGGGTTTAAGAGATGGGGAGCATTGGAAGTGGGGAGGGAGGCAGCCCGGGCGCGTGAATCACCGCTGCGAAGTGATGCTGAGGGAAGTCACAGACTTGGGAGAGAAAACAGGAGGGTTGGGAACAGCCTCCACGCATCTCCAGGCAACAACCCGCCCCACCAGCCACCCGGCCTGCTACTTTGGGATGAATTATGGCATCGGGATAAAAATACAAGGTGTTTAATACAGAAAAACGTGCAGCATTGCGCTCCAAAAGCGCCAGCACCGGGAGAACTGGGCCTCGGTCTGCGCTTTGCTGCGCCACAGCTTCATCAAAAGCCTTCCCACCTGGCCATGGAGAGCCACAGCCAAGGAAGATGAGATCCCAAATATTTTTTGATGCACTGCCATCCTGAAAACACTGAGGCTTTGCCAAGGTCTTGGTGTGGTGTGGTGGGAGGCCGGCTTCCACATCCCCAAGCTCTCCGACCCTTCGCCCCCATGTCCCGGCACCGACTCCTCACAGAGCAGCTCCAGCACCACATTCCCAAAGCTTTGTTTTGCTCTCAGAGAGATGGGAATGAGTATTTTGTGGAAGGGAAGGCTTCGGGGGCAATATTAAATGGTCCCAAGTGCTCCTCAGAGGGAGATTTTTGCGCAGTGGGAAACCTTTGGAACACCTTTTTTTCCACCATTAAATAAAACCAAGGAAAAGAGCGGCAATGAGGGAGCAGGGATCTGTGGGGGGATTCCAAACATCCCCCAGCCAGCCCCTTTGCCCATCCAGGGCGTGTCCCCTCCACGTCCCCCCAAGCCCTCCTGGACAGACAGCCGGACATTCAGCCCTGCAGCCTCCTCCAGCCCTCTGCCAACACCTCCAGAGCGTCCCAACGCCTGGACTTTTCCCCTTGGCGGGGGACACCGCAGCTCCTGGTGGCTGGTATTAATCCAGAGCAGCTGAAACAACAAGAGGACAACGGTGCTGTGCCACCACCTTGGCCTGGAGCTGGTGGAGCTGCACCGTTACCGCTCCGGGGCCCCTCCGCCAGGAATCCCAGGCATCTGGGCTGGGGCGAGGAGGTTTTTTTGTTCCACTGCGAAGAAGGAACGATCTCTCTCTCCTCTCTCTCTCTCTCTCTCTCTCTCGACGTGGAGCTGCCCCGTTTCACAGCCAGAAATTCTTTTCCCATTTCCTCACCGAGTCACGTGCCGGGAGCGAGCCGAGTCTTCCTCCGACACATTCCCCCCACCACCAATTTCTAAAACCATTAGGGCAATACTGGCCAGGGACGAAAGCCAGTTGGAAACCTGCAGTGCTTGGCCCAAAGATCTCAGCCACGGCTCTTGCAGGTTCTCCAAATCACGGCTTTAGGCCTCCAAGTGCCACCCCAGCGATGGGGACAGGAGCCAAGCAGTGCTGGCAAGGTCAGGGCTTTGCTTGAGCTTTGTGTCGGTGCAAGGGATGGACATGGAAGGACACGAACATTCTGTCTGATTTTTGTCCTTTTGGGTGTTTCTAAGTGACCACCAAGACCCCTCATCTGGCTTTTGCTCAGTCCCCAAACCTGCCAGGAACAGCTCCTGTTACCCAACCAAGATCTGGACCCAGGCCACATCCTGCAGACAAAACCCACCCAGAGGCTTTTCCAAGACCTTCTCCAAGTAGGGCCATCCCCATTTGTCTCCTGAACCTGCTGGTTTCAAGTTTTCCTCATGTGGCCACCAGCCCTGGGGCGTGGGGACACGGCTGTCCCTGTCCTGGGCTGATGTCACCCTGTTTACAGCTGTGCCACATCCTGCCACCGCTGCTGCCACTGTCTACATGGCACAGCACAGTTTGGAATCCAATGTATTTTTAGTTTTCCTTTACTGCATCTCAGCAGCTGGAAGCAAGGGACCTGTGTTGTGTGCTGAGCAGGAGAGCTCAGAGGCAGCTCAGGATCGCTGATGGACAGGTCATTAATGAGATCAGGGTGCAACCAAGGGTCTTCTTTGACCTCAAAGCTTCTTTAAACTTCGCCTTGGTGCCCTTCTGCCTTGGGAGTGCAGGGTGGATGGAGGAGAGCTCCTGGCAGGTCTTTCTGACCATGGCATAAAATCACAGAACAGTTTGTGTTGGAAGGACAGGAAAACTCATCTTGTCCCACCCTTTGGACACTTTCCACTTGAGCAGGCTGCTCCAGCCTGGCCTGGAGGGATGGGGTAGCCACAGCCTCTCTGGACAGCCCCGTTCCCGTCACCGTGTCCCCCACATCTGACTCCACGAGTGCCACCCCTGGCCTGGGACACTGTGCCATGTCCAAGCAAGGCAGAGTGGATAACCCCAAGTGCCCCCAGCCCAACAGAAGGACTGAGGGCGCATTTCACCCTCCCTCAGACGCTGCAATAGAAGCACAAAGCCAAATCAAGCGCACGCAAAATCTCCCTTAGAAACGGCGCTTTAGGTTGAGCTGGGATTTTTAGCAGAGGATTCATGTTTTTTAAAGCCTTTCCTGCGCTTGTCAGAAGGTCAGAGGGACTTCTTTCTTTCCCTCTTGCTCTCCTCACTCATTCCTTTTCCCAAGCCTCTGTGATTGCCATTGCCATGATCCAGGCAGGAGCACTGGGGTTATTCCCACCCCGCTGTGCTGCTCTGGGTGCTCCCTTATCCCTTTGGCTGACTCCAAACCTCACATCAGGGCTCTGCCACCACTCAATCCCTCCTCAAATCCTCGGGATGCAGGGAGCCAGCACATCTTTAAATCAGCCATTTGGAGCCTGTTCATTCGGGACTCTCCTCCACAGGGCTGTGGGAGGAAACCTCGCCAAGTTCCGTGGGGGTCTGCACCTCCACGGGGAAAGTTTTAGGAAGAGGTTAAAATCCAAACTCCCAGAGAAACCTCCTGCACTTTGGATGCACAGCTGCAGTGAGAGCTGTGAAAAAAAAAAATAAATTAAAAATTAAATTTATTTTGTTCTTCCAAGAGTGCAGGAGCTGCACCGCAGCGCTTTCGCTGCAAGGCAGCTA